ATCATTTTTAAGGGCAGCCAGTGTCTTCTCTGGGGTAATTTCTGAACCTACCATTTTTGTTAAGAACCTATTTCTGACATGAAAAAGTGAGAACTTGCCAATGGATTCACTGAGACTCTCTAATGCAGAGTCCTGGGGACTCAGGAGTCACAGAGTCTTGTGTCAGCCGCCCCAGCACCTGCTCGACCACACAGCAGGTCTGGAGCTTGAGCCCCGCTTAGCTCCCAAGAGGAGCGAGGCCAGCATCCTTGGAGGAACTGGGCAGAGCCTGGCCCCGAAGGCCCTGGGAGATGATGACTTGGAAAGGGTGATCCCTCCTCCCCAGCTCTCGGGGCCAGGGAGGCAGAGGGAGCATTTAACTTCCCTGACCTCTGGAGATTTCGGCTTTGACCTCACCAGATGGTGTTGCTGCAGCTCAGCGAACAGATGCATGAATCCGGAACAGGAGCCCATGGCTGAGGCTGGGAGGAATGGGGGGGTGCTGCCTGCCCTCTGGCTTCCTGCTGGCACAAGAGCACGGACGGACTGGGAGGCCCCACGAGAGATGGCACAGACAGACAAGGGGACAAAGGACAACGCACCACTGCCTACAGAAACCGAGGCTAGTCCAAGGCCACACACAGCTAGGAAGTGACTGGGCTAGGATTTGAACCCACTTCTGTGTGGCTCCAAAGTCCTAGTTTTAGGATTAGACAATAGAGCATGGAATGCTCGAGTTTATGTCCCAGTGGTACCCCCCACATCACTTGGCATTTCTGGAAATAACACCCACCTTACAGGACTGCTGCGCGTATGCGTGGAAAAACATCTGGGATGGTGTTTGCACCTAGCAGGTCATGAGTGCACCCTGGCTCTCCTTTACACTCACAGACAAAGCTGATGTCCTTGCAGGGCCCTCATGCCCATGGAAGCTTGTCGGACTGCTCCCCACCCAGCCACGCCCACCGCCTCCTGTTCCTGCACTCTCTCTCCCTATTGCCTGGAAGGCCCTGCCCCCAGGTCTCTGCTCCTCCTCCCCTCCTTCCTGGCTCTGCTCTAGTGCCACCTCACCAGGGAGGCCTCTCTGAGTCCCCTTTGAAAATGACACCTCCCCACCTGACCCCAACACACTCTAAACCCCAGCCCCGCCTTGTCTTTCTCTGTAGCATCTGCACCACACAGCCAGCCAGCTAGATTCCTTCTTTAGCATATGTGTTGTTCGCCTCCCCCTTTGGAATGCTTGCTTCTAAGGGAACAGGATGGGATTTGGTCTATTTTGTTCATAGTTGTAGGCCCAGTGGTTCTCAACAGTGGACGACGTTGACTCCCAGGGGACATCTGGCCATGTCTGGAGACATTTTTGGGTGTCACCATGCGAGGGGGGTGTTCCTGGTATTCGGTGGGCAGAGGACAAGGAGGTTTCTATAGTCCTACAACGCACAGGAAGCCCCCCAATCCCTCCCCCAAATGCCAATGGTGCCACAGCTGCAACCCTAGTACTGACAACAGTAGCCAGCCTGTACACAGTAGGTGCTCAATAAATGATTGATGAGGAACAAAACTACTACTATCATTGTTGTCACCATTATTATTATTTAAGTACAGATACAGTTGAGAGTGATCATTTAGGAGTTCACGGCCAACGGGCCGTCCTGGTGACCTATAACTTCTTCCCTCTGGTCTGAGCTCCGCCCTCAGCAGCACCCACAACGGGCTGCCCACGGGGCATGGCTGGGCCATCGTGGGGCAGGACCAGTCCATGCTTCAGGCCCGCTGAGAGCCCAAGCGATGCCAGCCTGCCCCTCCTCCCAGCAAGCCTGCCGTGGGCTCCTTCAGCGGACACCATCAGTTCTCACCCCCACGCCCCCCCCCACTGGAAAACTCAGGACCGTGTGCCCAGCTGGGCCAGGAACCACTTCCACGAGCCTTTTAGATGATCCCATCCAAACCCTGCACCCCTGGGCCTCCCACAGCCCAGGAGACTGAGTGAATTACGACCCTGTTTTTGCTCTTTTCACGATAAGGTCATGGGAGGGGTGCGGGATGTGGAGGGAAGCAGAGGCGCTAAACCCTCTGCTGGCCCAGCTCAGCCCAGGCCTCTTGCAGACCTAACAAATTACCACTGACAGTTTCACCAGCGCGACTAGCCCGGGCTCTCCCTCTGCAGAGAACACCACCAGAGAACATATTAAGCACCATGCGGCTGTGTTCTCAGGGGAAGGGAGAACAGCGTGAAAGCGGAGGCCGCTTCGGCCTGGGGCCTAGTTCACGGCCCCACCCCAGCCACAAGACTGGAAGGCTCCTCCGCTCCTTTGGCAGGCCGCCCACCCCGCAGTCCCGCTGAGAATTCCCACTTGAGATTCACAGCTGTCCCTGCCTGCTGCTTGCCCCCTGCCCCACCTCCCCAAGCTCTTCCTTCTCCTGGGGGCCTCCTTGGGCTCACAGCTGATCTGCAGAACAGGCTGACAAAGTACCATTTCTCTCCCACTCTCTGCACCTTCTTTTTCCTCCCCTCTCCCTCTCCCCTCACAGGTCCTGAAAGCTTTTAAACAAGTCACTGATGCTAAGGTTTAGCAGCTGACTTAACTGGGTACAAGGCTGTCAGCCGAAGGAATGAGTCTCTAATGGTGGAATATTAGGCAGCAGATAGCTAAGCTTGGGAAAATAGGGTGACTTTTGGTGGGCAGGGGTTTTCCTGGTGTCCCTGAGGTCACATGGAGCTGGCTCCAATTCTGCCAGGGAGGAAGGCTGACCCAAAAACCCAGGATGGAATGAAGGAGCAGGTGTGTGCCCAGTGACCACCCGGGGAATGAGCCAGGAGGCTATGTGGGACAGGCCCAGGATACTGATGGCTAGAAGCCTGAGTCAGAAGTGCCAGCTCCCCCAGAGGTAGGGCTGGGTGGAGACTGGGTTCCGACTCTCCCATCCGTGCTTTCTGCAAATCCAAACTCAATCCATGAGCTACCCTGATGCAAAAACTCATGCCCCCCACCACACAATCCAAAGCTCTGAGGATGGCATGCGGGATCCTGGCAGCACAGTCATCTCTCAAGTCCTGTGCCTGAGGGTCAGGCTAGGGGCTGAACGAAGCAGAGAGGACCGGCCCTGGTCATGTCCAGGGAGCCCAACACTGACATCTGTGTCCTCGATTTATACCACACCTCTGGCCTTGGTCTACAGATGAGGAATGAGCCTCTGTGACTTGGCCCAGGTCACATAGTCAGTGACCCAGCTGGGGTCGGAGCCCACATTTTCCACTGTGACATAAAGCCTGCCTCCTTAGGCCAAATGTGACCGATTCAGGCAATCTTCCCCAGCTTTCCTCTCCCCTACACTAGGTCATGGAACTTCAATTCATAGCCTGAAAATGACCAAGGTCTCAAAGCCTGCTGCCAGCTGGGGGGTGGCGCGGGAGCCAGAGTGTAACCCACCCGGATGCCAGGCGTCTCACAAACAGGATGTGTGTGGACAGGGCAGCCCTGGCTCTATCCTGCCCCTCAGGGCATCCACAGCCTTCCACACCTTAAAGGGAGGCTGAAGTCTGGGGTGGAGGATGTCTCAGGTGCAGCTACAATTTTCACCCTTTGTAAGCACCCTGGGAACTTGACCCATGATGAGATGTCCCCAGATATCTCCAGCTGCCAAATTAGCAGAGGAATAAGACAGAGCCAGGCAGGCAAGAGACTCTGGGAGGGAGCGCTGGCTGGGGGGTCAGCAGAGAGGAGCAACCAACCTGTCACCAAGATGCCCGTGGTCCTGAGATGTCCTGAAGGCAGGACATCAGATCTGAGCCAAAGTTCCCCCACATCTACTTTCAGTGCAATCTGGGCTGTTAATTATTCAAGCCCTGAGGATTGTGGAGATGACAGAGTGGGCCTGAGATGGCCGAGAGGGAAGGTCCTATCTTGTGCTCCCTGGGACGGATATGGAGCAAGAAGAGCCAGCACTGGTGACAGCTGGAATGTGACTTCTATTAAACTAAGACAGGCTCCCCCTTGGAGACCCAAGGGTCCAAGGCTGCCCTTGTCCAGTCGCTGATAATTCAGTATAAAGTGGGCGAATCCCTGCCCTTTCCTGAATGAAAGCGTCCTCAACCATAAAAAGGGACACTGATGTGCCTGGCAGGTCCTAGGGGCCAGTGAGAGCACACTGCCCCACCACTGTGAGCAGGCACCAGGTCAGCACTGGAGGGGCGCAGAATATGAGCCTCTTTGGCCCCCAGCCAGGTTCCCAGGAATTATCTCTTCAGTCCCTTTCAGTCCTGGGAAGTGACAATCTGACTTCATTGAAAAATTTCAGCACACTGCATCTTCATCAGTTGCCAAATTAGGATGAGGGCAAAGAGACAGGTCAAGTCATTAAGATGAGGAGTGAGGCTTTGGAGTGACTGAGGAAATACTTCGGTGTGTGCCTGGGGGGTGGATGTCTTACACTCAGCATTTGCCTGCAGGTCCCCCAGAGCCACCACCCCTTTCTCCCCTGCGAGATCGTCTCTGTGCTGTGGCATCCAGCAGGGACACTTCCTCCTACCCAGCAGGACCGGGCATCCTTGCCATCCCCACAGCCAGGCGGGAGGCGTCCTGGGATGGTCGGTGGGACCGCTGGGGAAGTGAGGCCACTCGGCAGGTGGACAGCCTAGGTCAACAGGTGGTGGTGGGCTTCCCCTTCCACGCTATACAGATAATTGCTGCCAGTCCTATTGAAGTTTGTCGTGGGAGTCTGTCCTCCGCTTTGCAGTGGGCAGCCCAGCAGGGTCCACAAAGAGGGGGTGTCATCACCTCCCTCGCACATCCCCAAGACAGACAGACACACAGACACACACACACACACACCGCCCAACCCTACCCCTTTCTTCACCGCGATGGGCTAGGATGCCAGCACGCAGGGGACAGTCTGGCCCCAGCCCCTGGCCCCACGGTAACCGGAACGACCCGGCGCAGTGGCCGAGGCTCTGGCGGGAAATCCTCTGTGGGGCCCCCAGGAGGGGAGCGCGGGTCTCTCCCGGTCTCCCCGGCTCTTACCTCGCTGGACCCGCAGGGGCACCTGACCCTGCTCGAACGTCCCTCGCGGGCTCGGTACCGCGCCAGGCTCCCGGGGGCGCCCGCCCCGTCGCGTCCGCACGAACCGCTCCGCGCCAGTGACCGT